CAAAAAAAAAAAACACCCAAAAAACCAAAACAGGCAGACAACAACAAAAAAACCCACAACACTCCCTCCCCCCCAAAACATGTTCGGAAAAACAAAACAAAACAAAAAACCACAACATACTTATTTACCCTATTAGCAGAGTTGCTATTTAAAAAGAGCATGATCATTGCTGAATGAGAGGCAGTGGGAAAGCTAGAGGATAAAAGCTTCCCAGAGCACCAGCAGAAGGACTAATTTCTGACATTGCTTCACTGAACGCAGAACCACTACCAAGACACCCTCTGGGTGCTGAGCTTTCCTGGAAATCTGACATTAGATGCTGCAGAGGAGTAGCAGCCACTGAATTACCCAATGCTTGAAAACTGGTACTCATTTCAGCATCTGATTGGGATCTGGTCTCTTTCACAAATCTGGCCCTAAATTGGGAGAACTGAATATTTTAAAACCTTGCCTTTTATAGTTCTTGGGACAAGAAAAGTTAGATATTTTTTCCCTACAAGCCTCATGTTCAAATCCAGCTCCAGGAAATAATAAATGAAATTAGGAGACCTTGTAATAGGCATAAACTGCAATTAAAATTATGTTAATTCTAGCTATTGCCAGAGCATTATAATGTCTTTGGCATTTCCAGCAACATGTGTGTAGCTTGCACAGACTACACCACGTTAGCCTTAAACAAGCTTGTTACTACTATTATAATAGCATTACTGACACCAAGACTTTCAAACCACCATTTCTCTCTAATCTCTCTATCTGCACCTACGCTAGGCCAGCTAGTAAAATGGATCCAAGTTGAAAATGAGCTTTTTTCTTTTTCTTTTGCAGGGATATGAGCCAGACTGCCACCACAAGTAACAAATAGTCATGGAACAATGAGGTGATTGTTGACTCAGTAATAAAATGACAGGTGAAAATTCAATGTTGATAAATGCAAAATAATACATATTCCTAGCAATACATGCACAGTGAGGGGGTGTACACTGCCTCTGACTAAGTACAGCATTTTTTATGAACTACTGATAATATTGGCATCTCTGACCATTCCCTCTTTTTCGGATTTTTTTCCTCCATTGTTTTTTCAGTACTGTTTTCTCATGGATCCCCCTCTCACTCTCATGCAGTCCAGGTCTCATATGGCTGTTTCTCCTTTTCTTCCTCCAAGAGGCTCTTAGGGTCTCATCCTTAGCCGACACCTTTTTCTGTATCTTTTGGCTCTGCAGCCCATATTTCAGAAGCAAGTAAGATTTATTAACAGCAAAGTGTAAGGCAGGGGCAGGGGGAGATACTGGGAGCAAGATTAGAGGGATGGAAGGGGAGAAACTACATCTTGGTTTCCATTGTTCGGATGAGGAGGCATTGCCAATACACAAGTTAAACCAGGTAGCATGGTGGGATCACCACAAAGAGGGCACGTAGGTAGTACAATGGCTACGGTCCATGAACCTGTAGTTTGAAACTCTCCCAAATACCAAAAAGGTGACTTTCAGTGACTGATATTTAGAGAAATACTAATAATATAATCAGAATCAGTAAAAATACATAGTTCCAGTAGCAGATGGTGATTAAATATGTACTATACAAACAAGTGTTAGAAACTTAAAATTCAAGTGAAAGATCATTTGCATTTCAACACATTCTGTGCAGTGGCCGTAAAATTTGCTGTGGACTAAACCGAATTAAAAAAAAAAAGGCATGAGGGAGATACTGACATTGGGGGAAAAAAATAACCCAAACTGAATTTGAGCCAGCTAAGTCATAAGAAACAATGAATATGTCAAACAAACTTATATCTAGATGTTGCTATGAGTTTTAATTGCAGCATACAAAAAGTAGCCATACAGCCGTTGTAGTCGACACTGCTTTTTACAATAAGCCCTAAATAACTAATGTTACTGTGATCCAGCATTAAGCCATCAGCAAATAGGATGCTGTTCCTCACATTGTAATATGATGGACACAAGGATTAATGCTTTGCTTTAATAAATCATGTTGCAGAATTTTTAATATCACAAATGGTCGACTCCTTACATAAAAAGATAGTGTTTCAATAGTACAAAGGTTTCTAATATTGTATGGGGACATTTCTTCTCTTGATGAGTTAACTGACAGCGGAAAATACCAGCTTCCTTTGGACAAACTAGATATATAACAGAAATTTCTTACCCATGTATCAATCAGCCTAATCCAGCTTTATATCTGTGAAACAACTTCCCATGATGTAGTCACAGATAAGTGAGATAATATCAAGACAAGCTAAAAAGCATTATGACCTGACCTTCTTAAGTCGGTATGTAGCTATTTTAATAAAAAATATTTCTACATAATTTTGATTCGTCTATTCTGTTTGTACATACTTAGTACATAATATTCTGTCTTCCTTGGTGTCTCTGACATACCTGCACACAGAGCTTAGTTACGTGCTCCTGTGATTTCAAGGGAGACTCATCACACAGCTGACAGAAACACTGAAAGGCACTGAAGTTTCTGACAGTGTCATTAAAAAGAGCCATGACTACATAGCTCTACTTCAAAATATTTTGCAGAAAAAAACCCACAGATTAGCCTCGTATCACTTAGATTTTTTTCCATACTGTGTGTTTGAGTCAGACCTCAGCTTATTGTCCTATGCACAAGAAGATAC